ATCAAATGCATCGCCCCATGATTGGCAAACTGAAGATGTTTCCATACAACCAGCAGAAAATTCAGGATGGCATCTACCTCGGGCTCCACGGAGGGACAGAGGTAGCAGTGAGAATAACCTGCAGCGCAGAGGGTGACAAAGAGAAAGAGTTCTTCGAAAAATGTTCTCACTGCGAACATCTACTGAAGCTCTTCCAGTCTGAGAAGGAAAAAGATTGCATGTACTTGTGCTTCCCACTCTGGGAGAAAAACCTCCAGGAACACCTGCAGGAGCCTGAAGGCCAAAAGGATTACAAAGCTGCTCTGAAGATGATCTTCCAGGCACTGAGAGAGCTGCACTCCCTCAGATTTGCTCACCAGGATCTACAGCCCGGGAACTTCGTAATAGGTTATGTTTTGCTTTCTTTATGTTTTCATTTTGCTTTCCCTGTAGCTTAGGGGAGAAGGTGTCTCACAGCTGTCTGTAAAAATGGAGATGTCATTGTGCTGAATGGGGTGGCTTTAGATCTCCTCTTTAAATGAGTATGGACACTTTCACAGAGAGAACAACTTTACACATCTCATTAGCTCTGCCCCCCTCTCCAGGGCTCTGCAGGCAGATCAACCCATCACAGATGCCTTCAGAGAACTGTTTTTTAAAGAAGGGGCCATCCAGGAGTCAGCGATGGACCGTATGAAGCTTTGCCACCTTTATTTATTAACAATTTCTCCTATTTCCTCAGATTTAGCCGGCAAAATTTACTTGGCGGACTTTGGTAATGAAAGAAGGTCGATTGAAGGCCAAGAAGAGCTTGTAAAGTCAGATTTAAAGGCAAGTTCTCTGTGAACCAAACTGTGGTTTGAATTTTTGGGTTCTCTGCAGCTGTGGGTCCTAGGGAAAGGCTTTTTTGCATCCCACAAAATGCCTTGATTCGTGGGAAAGCCCCTGTAGCGGCAGATGTCGCGTGGGAGCGATGTTGATTTGGACGCCAGTCTCCTCTGTCCTTGTGCACACAGGGTCGAGGATTGTGTTGGGTGTGTGTTTTACACTTCTGGGCAGCTGCAGGGTTTGGGGGTAGGAATCCTCTCCCGTTGTGTGCCTGCAGCACTGGAGCAGTGATGTCTCTTTTGCAGGCCCTGGGCAGGCTCGTGCTCTACGTTTTAACAGCGGGCAGGAAACCCCTCCAGCAAGTTGGAATGGAGGATTTGGATCCCAATTCCCCAGATTACGAGGAGGCTCTGGACCTCGTGCAAAGCCTGTCTTCTGGTGATGAACGAGGCTTGGAAGGGTTGAGCAAACATCCCTATTTCTGGAGCAATCAGAAGTAAATCCTGGGAGTACAGAGGAGGTGGAATTTTGGTGTGGGTCAGTGAGCAGTGATGTCCCACTGCAGCTAATGAAGCTTCTCATCCCACAGCAGGTTCAGCTTCCTGAAGACTATATGGAATAAAATCAAAGATTACAGAAAGCAAAAACGGATTTTTGAAGCTGTCACTAAGAAAACTTCTCCTTATCCAGAGTGGACCGAAATGGTAATCCTCTTCAATTTGGATTGGTGTCAGGTTTGAGCTAGGCTTGGTGTCAGGTTTGATTCAGGCAGAAGATTTTCCGAGTGTTTCACGGGCTCTGTTTAAAAATGGAACTGGGAAAAGTAGCCCCACACAAAATACAGACAACTGGGAAATGCAATTCAATCGAAGGCATGTAGTGAGAAGATGTTGATGCTAAAGGGAGCTCTGCTAACGGGGGTGATTAAATGGGTTGGTCATTCTCAAATTGTCTGGCAAAGCTTCAAAGTCTGTTGGTTTTTGTGGGGTGTGAAAGGCAGGGAATAATCTGTATGCTTCCTTTCAGATCGACAAAGATGTTTTACATATCATGGAAAATCCTAGGAATGCAAAACCTACCCAATACAGAAATGATGTCATCCAGCTCCTGAGGCTCATGAGAAACATGGATGAACACAAAGATGAAGGGTATGTGTTCTCATCCTTGCTCTTGACATGGGTGCATAGGATCAGAGAATATCCTGAGCTGAAGAGGACCCACAAGGATCACTAAGTCCTGTCTTTGCCCAGGACAAGCCTAAGAATCCCCACCATGTGCCTGAGAGAGCTGTCCAAAATTAAAGGAATAGCAAAAAATAAAAATAAAAAAAAAAAAAAAAAAAAAAAAAAAAAAAAAAAATAAAAGAAAGTAAAAAAAGGATTGAGGAGTAGAAAAGTTGCAGCTCTGGGGTTTCTAGGAAACCTCCCCGTGTTATCAGAAAGCCTCTGGAAAGGCTTTTCCTCTGCAAGGGCATCCTAGAATATTGACCCCCTTGGACAAGCTTTAAAAATCCTGTTTGCTTTTGTTCTCTTTCAGGATCAGCAACAAAATAGGAGACTATGCTGAGTATTTCCTGGCGGTTTTTCCAAAGCTCACCATCTATGTGTACAACAGTTTACGTCAGAGCCCCATGCGCAGTCACTTTGCAGACTTCCAGGACCCTTCTCTGTAGGATGTCACCACCTCCTGTCCCGTGTCTGACCCCACCATCATTCCTTTTATTTCTTATTTATTCACCTGCAAAAGAGCTGAAGATGTGGGTGAGGAGATGGGATAAAGCACACGCAGGGACAGAGTATGGAGGTTTTAAATTAAGAAAGATTCCAAGGAGTTTGGTGTAACAACCACGAGCTTTGGAGGCTCTGATTTGCACTGTGATTAGACATTGTTATGGAAAAGTTGAAACGTTTCAGCTGTTGAAAAGGCTGGTTTTTTGTGGGTTTGGTTTTTGGTGGTTTTTTTTCCAAACTGGGATAATTATTCTTTCAATGACTCCATGGAGATACAAACTTGAAATAAACTTGACTAGAAAATTGTCTCTACACTCCTTTAGGAATGCAGTTCCCCCATCCCCTCTGCACAGGAGGAGAGGTTCTGCAGCATCAGGACCTGCATCAGTGGTCCTGTCTTGGAGCAAAAGTCCTTCTGGAGGACCTGAGAGCCTTTTAAATACATTATGGAAGTTTTACTAAGCAACTGTTGATGACAAAATGCAACCAGGAGAACACTGACTCCTCTTGTGCCAATCTTTTTGGGTTTTTTACCTTTCCCCCCTGCTCTCTTTTTATTTTTATTTTTTTCTTGCTCACTGTGTCTTTCTCATGCCCAGAAGGCAGAAGGACACCCAGAGATGAGTGCTCAGGTCTCAGCAGTGTGGGGAACAGGGGGCTGTGGGGTGCAACAGCAGCATTTCTGCTCTGGCATGAAGTGAGGCTGGGCTCCTCCAGCCTCCTGTAAAATGCCACATTCCCGACTTTCTGTGACCTTTGCAACTTCTCCCATCACTCTGCTGTTTCACTGGAGGGCTGGGACCCCAAAGGTGTGCCCAAAACAGAGCAATGATTAAACCCAGGGAGGCTGTGGCTTATCTCTCTGGGGAAATCTGGCTGCTAGCAAGAATTTCCAGGGACAGCTCCTGGGCTCTGTCCTGCTGTCAGAGAAGCCAGAAGCACCAGCAGGCTGCTGCTGTCAGAGGAGAAACCTGATCCATGCATCCCTGGTTGCTCCTGGAGCATCAGACCATGGGAGGAAGGAATGCAGGACTTGGGAGCAAGGCTGGGGAAAACACCAGGCTGCTTCTCCCAGGAGGATGCAAAACTGGTGGCCAGTGCTGCAGCTGGGTGGTGTGGCAGTACCTGGGGCACAGCCCAGGGATGGAGGTGTCCTGGGGAGCTGGGGGCAGAACCATCTGCCAAAATGAGTGACAAAATGGGATGTCCCAGCATCGGTGCCCAGCTGGGAGGCGCTGCCTGCCTTTACCTCAGCGGGGTTTGCAGCCCACCAACGATGCCCAAAGGTGTGCTTTGGCCCCACACGCTTCATTGCCCTGCTGTCCTGCCTGCATTCGCTGTGCCTCTGCTTTTTCCTCTGCTGGGACCCCCCAGGACAGCTGGCCTAGCCCAGTGTGATGGGATCAGGTGCTCCCTGTCCTGGCTCTCGCACGCTGAGGATGCGCTTGTGTGCTAAGGGATGCTCCCAGCTCACCGTGGCTCATCTGCTGCTCTGAGAAACAAACCCACAGAGCAGCCCACAGGAACAGTGCAGTGAAGGCTTTACTTAGCTGTGGTTTCGCTGTGCTGAGCTTCAGGCACATCTGTGAGGCCTTAGAGGGCCTGGGCTCAGGTGGGTTCAGGAGTGTTAGTGAAAAGCTGATAAAAACACGGCAAGATTTCAGGGCTGAAAGCTTTTGGGGCAAAATAAACTTCCAGCGTAAAAGCAGCTCTGAGCGTTGGTCACATTTCATTTCAGCTTCCCAAGCCCTTCAGTTAAAGAAATGTTCTTGGGTTTTTTGATTTTTTTTTTGATCCTCCAGAGGCAAAGTGTTGATAATCATGACTGATAAATAGGAAATATGCCTTAAAATGTAGCTGGTGTTATTCCCAGGATGTATTCTTTTAGGATCTGGGATTAAAAACAGCTGAAAATGACAAAGCTGAGAGCTTGCCTCTGACAAACACATAAAGGTTGTGGTCTTTGTCTTCACGAGGTCCAAAGAATATTTGTGATTTCTGCAGCTTCCTGGTCACTTGGCAAAGTCACTTTGACTCAGTTTCACCTGGGGAAAATTAAGGCCCTTGCTATGATTTGGTTAGTGTTTTGTAAACACACATTGGCTTAAAAAAAACCCCAACAAAACACCAAAACTTCATCAAAAAAAGAAGCATGCTGAAGCCCCAGTAAGGCATGAGCTGATTTTGGTGGGAAAATCAGAAAGGCTTTGTCAAAACAGGCATTTTCTCAGCAGCCAGCTGAGTGAGGGAACCAAATGGGCTCTCTCAGCCACAGGAAGTGTTTAATTTGTGTGGAAAGGTGAGGAGCTGAGGTACATGCTGCAGATCCACGTGAGAAGGGAGATTTGTGTGGTGTTTCAGCTAGAAATACATGTCACAGCAAGTCCCTGCAGAGCTGTGAGCTGTTATGTGCTGCCACCAGGTAAGCTAGAGGACGCTGTGAGTTGCTTTTATTTTTAGGTCTTATTGCTGACAAACTTCAGATGACTCCCTGTGTCCAGGCTGCTCAACTTCCTCAGATCCCACCTGTGTGGGTGCTGTCTTGGGAGGGCTGAGCTTCCCTTCATTCCTGCAGGGAAGGGAGAGATGCTGCATCAGTGGCTGCTGTTGCTGAAAGCAGGGTTAGGGTGCTCCCAGGGAGGAGTTCTGGGCATGGAGAGGGATCAGGGCTGTACCCAGGCAGGAGTTCTGGGCAGGGAGAGGGAACAGGGATGTTCCCAGGGCGGGGTTCTGGGCATGGAGACGGATCAGGGATGTTCCCCCAAGGAGTTCTGGGCGTGGAGAGGGATCAGGGCTGTACCCAGGCAGGAGTTCTGGGCAGGGAGAGGGAACAGGGATGTTCCCAGGGCGGGGTTCTGGGCATGGAGACGGATCAGGGATGTTCCCCCAAGGAGTTCTGGGCGTGGAGAGGGATCAGGGCTGTACCCAGGCAGGAGTTCTGGGCAGGGAGAGGGAACAGGGATGTTCCCAGGGCGGGGTTCTGGGCATGGAGACGGATCAGGGATGTTCCCCCAAGGAGTTCTGGGCGTGGAGAGGGATCAGGGCTGTACCCAGGCAGGAGTTCTGGGCAGGGAGAGGGAACAGGGATGTTCCCAGGGCGGGGTTCTGGGCATGGAGACGGATCAGGGATGTTCCCCCAAGGAGTTCTGGGCGTGGAGAGGGATCAGGGCTGTACCCAGGCAGGAGTTCTGGGCAGGGAGAGGGAACAGGGATGTTCCCAGGGCGGGGTTCTGGGCATGGAGACGGATCAGGGATGTTCCCCCAAGGAGTTCTGGGCGTGGAGAGGGATCAGGGCTGTACCCAGGCAGGAGTTCTGGGCAGGGAGAGGGAACAGGGATGTTCCCAGGGCGGGGTTCTGGGCATGGAGACGGATCAGGGATGTTCCCCCAAGGAGTTCTGGGCGTGGAGAGGGATCAGGGCTGTACCCAGGCAGGAGTTCTGGGCAGGGAGAGGGAACAGGGATGTTCCCAGGGCGGGGTTCTGGGCATGGAGACGGATCAGGGATGTTCCCCCAAGGAGTTCTGGGCGTGGAGAGGGATCAGGGCTGTACCCAGGCAGGAGTTCTGGGCAGGGAGAGGGAACAGGGATGTTCCCAGGGCGGGGTTCTGGGCATGGAGACGGATCAGGGATGTTCCCCCAAGGAGTTCTGGGCGTGGAGAGGGATCAGGGCTGTACCCAGGCAGGAGTTCTGGGCAGGGAGAGGGAACAGGGATGTTCCCAGGGCGGGGTTCTGGGCATGGAGACGGATCAGGGATGTTCCCCCAAGGAGTTCTGGGCGTGGAGAGGGATCAGGGCTGTACCCAGGCAGGAGTTCTGGGCAGGGAGAGGGAACAGGGATGTTCCCAGGGCGGGGTTCTGGGCATGGAGACGGATCAGGGATGTTCCCCCAAGGAGTTCTGGGCGTGGAGAGGGATCAGGGCTGTACCCAGGCAGGAGTTCTGGGCAGGGAGAGGGAACAGGGATGTTCCCAGGGCGGGGTTCTGGGCATGGAGACGGATCAGGGATGTTCCCCCAAGGAGTTCTGGGCGTGGAGAGGGATCAGGGCTGTACCCAGGCAGGAGTTCTGGGCAGGGAGAGGGAACAGGGATGTTCCCAGGGCGGGGTTCTGGGCATGGAGACGGATCAGGGATGTTCCCCCAAGGAGTTCTGGGCGTGGAGAGGGATCAGGGATGTTCCCAGGGAGGAGTTCTGGGCATGGAGACATGCAGCAGCTGGGAGTTTTCTGTGACTCTTACTGGAGCTGATGGGGCTGACCAGCATCCTGCACAAACCCTTGGGATTTTAGGAGAGTCACAGCCTGTGCTGTGGGGTTTGGAGGAGGGGAACACCTCTGGGAGCACCTACCCTCCCTGTGGGGCAGACTCGCTGAGCGAAGGCCTCTTCTCCTCGCTGGGACCTGCATCTGAGGGCAACAACAGCACAAACTTCCACCATGGGTGCTGCAGGGAGCCCTCCATCCTCCTGCAGCTCCCATCCCCACAGCCCTCAGGAGCAGGAGGGCCCCTTTCAGTACTGGCTCACCTTTTTCCTCCTCTGAAGGCTCCTTTATCACCTCGGGCCGTGGCAGCAGGAGCTCGAGGCCGCCTGACAGCGTGAAGATGAGGACAGCCCTTCTACCTGGTGAGGGAAAGGACATGGAGAGCTCTGATGGCAAATGAGGGACGACAGCAGGACCCTCAATCATTTGAGGCTTGCCCAGAGCACAAGGAAGGATGACTGAGAGAGGCCTTGAGGTCTCCTTGATGGCAGAACAGTTTGGGGGCTGCAGGGTGGGAGTGCCATGTCCCACCCGCCCTGGCTCTGCGGCAAGGCTGGAGGGCAAAAATGGGAGATGGGGAGGTGTGCCAGGCTTTGTGCCTGCCTGGGCAGCACTTTCCCAGGCTGGTGCTGGTACACCACGGTCCCCAGTGCTGGTGGCCGTGCCCTGGGGCCGGGCAGTGCAGCCACAGTGATGCCTGGTGATGGCAGATGGGTCCCTGCCTGCCACCACCCAGCCCTGCTCACACCGCGCCTGCACATCCCTCAAAACAAGGCAAGAGCACAGTGTGGGGGAGAGGAGGTTTTCTTTGTGATTTCAGGTGTTTCCCCCAGCAATTCTGGTGCTTTTTAAAAGGCAACAAAACCAATTTATTTTTTTTTTCACCCCCCCACCCTAGCTCAAAAGCACATTTTTACCTAAAGGTTAGAAAAGCAAGACCCATAGAGAAAGGTCTTTGGTGAAAGCATAAGGTGCAGAAAAGTGTCTTGGGAGCTGGTGTGGACATCAGCACAGTCAGAAAGAGCAGATATTTTGGGCCACACATCTTGTCCCCCACATGCCAGGCAAGCTGAGGGATTTTATTTTTCTGCCTGGCTCCTGTTACTCGTCCCTGTGAGATGCAGCAAGGAGCGGTGGCTTGGGGACTGTTGTCCCAGGGACAGTCCCTGTGGAATTAAAGCCAATTCTGGGGAGATCACAGCCTTTTCTACACATCCAGAGCAGCTCCCAGACTCTGTGGCTGCAGTTAAACACGGGCTGTGCTGCTTGGGACCGTGCCAATCCTTGCAGCAGTTTGCACTGATTTAAACACAGAATAATTTGTGTTGGAAGGGACCTTTCAATGCCATCTAGTGCAGCCCCCAACTAGACCAGGTTGCTCAGAGCCCCATCCAACCTGATCCTGAATATTTCCAGGGATGGGAAATATTCTGGATGCCCAGCTTCTCTGGGCAACGTGTACTGGTGTTTTACCACCCTCTAGTGTAAAAAACGACTTCCTAGCTCTAATCTGAATCAGTTTAAACGTCACTCTGCTCCCTGCAGGCCCTGGCAAACACTCTCCTTGTCCTGTATAACACAGCCAGTAGCTCTGGTGTGACACAAGGCTTCTGGCTTATCACTAGCTTGGAACAGATGTGTGATACATGAGGTTTTCCTGGGTTTTCTTCATGACTTTTGCATGAGAACACTTATGTGTGAGAAGGTCCTGGAAGAGCAGTGAGGCTCTGTAACAAGGTGGAGACCCAAGCTGAAGACTTGGATGTTTTCCATGGGAATAGGGAGGTGGTTTGAGCTATGGACATGGCTTGGCATTCCTGGAGCACAGGGCTCTGTCACCTCAGCCCTGCTGTGGAGCAGGAGCTCAAGGACCTGCCTGGAGGCATCCAAATCCTCGAACTCTGCTGCCTTTTAGCCAGAACTTGACAGTGATAAATGACAGGGAGCAGAACAGCAGCTTGCTGACGCCCACTCATCCGTCAAAGCAAGATTAGTATGTGCCTATTTTGGTTTCCCCTTTAATCAAAAATCAATTAGACAATTTCCAAATGAATATTCAGCCAAGGAGCAGGCTGTCAGGCAGACTGACAGTGCTCAGCATCACTTTGTGATGTTCAGAGTTATTCAGTTGTTAGAGCTATTCAGTGTATTGCAACTAAACAAGTGGATGAGGAAGAAAAAACACCTCTTTCCCCGGAGTTGTCACCTCAAATCCTGATGGAGGATTATTCTCCATTCCAGATATTCAAAGCACTCTCCATGGAATGCCACCGTGCCTGGTGTTTGGCTGCACAGCTGTTCTCCTTCTCCTGCTCCCATTTGACTTGCAGCCAGAAAGATTGGGGGTTTTTATTTCTGTTTCAGGGGGTGTGCCTGAGTATTTTTAACTTGGTTATCGAAATAAATAGGAATTATGCAACAGCTCTTTGCTCAGGAAGTCTCTGTGCTCACTTCCCTATTCACCAAAGAAAATTTCTAAAATCCCACTGGAGAGTTTTGACCAATTTTGACAGGGAAAAAACCAATTCCATTCAATTTTCCCAGCAGGCCTGCGCCACACACACCCTCACAGCTGTGTGAAGGAGGGGGTCTTTTCAGGGGAACTTAAAAGATGTCAGCTCTGGGTGTTTCTGCACTGGAAGAACAAACCTGGAGCATAACGTGTAGCAGAGGGAATGGCCACCAGCTTCTTGGGACCAGGGATCTTGGGTGCTTTGGAGGGGGTTTTTCCAGGAGGTGCAGAGGTTGGAACTCTGCCCTCCTTTTGGCCCCAGGAGCTCTTGTCCCTCTTGGGCTCCTGAGATCTCCTCTCCTCCTTGTAGCCCCAGGAGCTCTTGTCCCTCTTGGGCTCCTGAGATCTCCTCTCCTCCTTTTGGCCCCAGGAGCTCTTGTCCCTCTTGGGCTCCTGAGATCTCCTCTCCTCCTTGTAGCCCCAGGAGCTCTTGTCCCTCTTGGGTTCCTGAGATCTCCTCTCCTCCTTGTAGCCCCAGGAGCTCTTGTCCCCCCTGGGCTCCTCTGATCTCTTCTCTTCCTTGTGGCCCAACAAGTTCTTGTCCCCCTTGGTGAGCTGAAAACTCCCGTCCTCCTCATTGGTCTCAGAGCTCTTGTCCCCCTGGTAGGCCCGAAAGCTCCTCATCACCTTCCAGATGCAGAACCTGCGTGAGAAACACCGGAGACAGCGAAGCTCCAAGGAGACAATTCCAGCTGAGCTCCAGGGGAGCGTCTCATCTGCATTTCCAGCATGGCAGAGGAACAAGTGGCTGGAGATAAAGGGTGGGATCCCCAGAGCCTCCTCCACCTTGGGAGAGAGGGGATGGATAGGTACCTTCTCCAGAAGTACATCAGGATGGGGAAGAGGGTGACCTTGGCGTTGTGGTAGATAGCTCGGGTCAGTGGCCCCTTGGAAGATGGACGGCAGATTAAATCCCTCTCTTTCTCAGAGATGTTGACCTGGGCACAGAAGATACTAAACCATTTTGCAGCCATCCTGGCTTCTTCATCCAGCCAGGTTTCTATCCCTGACCCCACCTCAGCAGTCCCTAAGAAGAGCCCCAAATTCCATCCTTGGATGCTTGTCCCAGGCACAAGGGCAGGATCCCACCTGGATTTCTGTGGGAAGTGCCCTCCAAAGGGGAGATGGCAGAGCTACTGGGAGGAGATGGGGTGGGTGCAGTGGGGAGGGGATGATGGTGACACTGGCCTCTGAAGAGTGAAAGGACTGCATTGGTGGTGTGCAGCACCATCCTGGTGCTTCAGCCCTGGCATTTGTCCAGCAGGTAATGCTGGAGAGTCATCCCCATCTCTCCCACCCTTATCCACATGCTTGTTCTCAATTTATCAGGGTCTGGTGAGGAGTTGCTTCCCATCCTTCCCAGCCCGTGTGGAAGCCCCAAGCTCAAGAGGACACTCCAAAGCCCTCCCCAGCAGATCCAGACCCCTGCCTGCTCCTCCTTCCCCACCACTGTTCCCAGCTGAGCAGGCAGCAGCTTCCAGCCTTCCTGGGTGGGTCCTGGGGTCTCACCCGCAGCTTGGGGGGGAGATCAGAGTTCAGGAAAAGTCTGCTGATGATTTCACGTTTCTTTCTGAGAAAGGCGACGTGCCTTTCTGACCGCATCTTGTGGAGTGCCACAGCTCCTATGGAGTCAGCCAACCTGGAAAACCTGCAGAGGCATGTGGGGTCTTGCTCTGAGACAAGTGCTAGGTTAGACAGCCGTGTTCTTGCTTAATTTGGTATTTGCTTGGCCAGGAAAAGCAATCCTCAAGGTGTGGAACAGTGACACGGGAGGTATGAAAGGCCACCTCCCTCTTCTGCCACCCTCGTGGTCACAGGATTCACCTGGGGCAGGTGATGTCCCCCCTTTTTGGGAAAAGAGGAGGACTGAAAGCTGGGGATTTGCCTGTTGTGGGAGTGTTGGCTGCAGGATTGGTGCCCATTGGCCATGGATTGTTCTTCCAGGTTTGTTGGGAGCGTGGACAAAGTCAAGGGAGAAATGCCACCACAACTGGGACATCCAGAGTGGTGTGGGAAAAATGTTGGATTGCTTGGGACTACCAGACTAAATGGATTTCAAACAGGAACCCTGAGCCAGGGGATGACTGCAGGCTGAAATTAAGGCTTTGGAGGTCTCCATCAGAGATGGGTTGGAGCCAGAGCCAAGGGAGGCAGGTGTCAAATTGGATAGAGCAACCTGAGATGTCCCTGCCCATGGCAGGGAGTTGGAATGAGATGACCTTAGTCCCTTCTAACCCAGGAAACGATGCATTAAGATTTAGCTTTCATATTTTTCATATTCTGTGCTGCCTAGGTGTGTAGTTTTGAACTTCATATTAAGTGTTAGTGAGCTCTCTTCACAGAGCAGGTAGACAAAACAATTCCTTTTCCAGCTTGATACCAAGGACAATCATTACAAGTTTCAGGCCCAAAAGCAGAAATAATGCTGGACTGAAGAGAGAAAACAAGAAGGATAGGACTTCGTAACCTGAAGCTGTAATTGGACAATTAACCCTGATATGCAGATGGACCAAAACTTATAAAAATGTGAGACCTTGTGAGCAATCATCCATTTTGTGACCATTTTTAGGTCCATCTTGGGTGTAGCCCTGGCCAGGCTCTTGTACTGCCCGAGGTGTGTCCTTTAAGGCCTTTCAATAAATACCTGCGTTACTCTTAACTCTGTGCAGCCTCTGTCCTAGGTCAGCCTTCTCCAGGCATCAAAACCATTCTGGGATTCTGCAGTGGTACCTGAACACGTGGTGGAAGAAGAACTTACTTGTCCATCTCCAGGTAAAAGCGGAGGTCATTGACGAGGAAGCTGATGATGATGAGCTGTTTGTCCAAAATGCGGCGCTTTACCAGCGTCACCTTCTGCGGCTGGGCTTTGCCCTTGCGGGAGCGGGAGCTCTTAGCGGGACTTTTGCTCTTCTTCTTCTTCTCCTTGATGGGCAAGTCTGGGACAGGGGAAGAGATGCTGTGTCCTGCTGCCCAGCACTGGGTTTGCTCTTTCACCTCACCTGTTGCTTCATGCAACTTGCTGAGGGCCTTTCTACCTCTGTGGGTGACACCCTCCCCTCTAGCTTGGTGATCTCCTCCATCCCTCCTCCTCTTTGCACCCACAGAGTGTTTATGTTCACTGTTCCTATAGGGAATGGCCTGTTCCTAAAGCCTGCTGGTGTGTCCAGCTGTTGGCCTGGCTCTGATAGAGCCCACAAGAAGATAATGAGTGAGGATGAAAGGGAAGGAATCTCTTGTTTCCCCCATATACAAAATTCTCTCTATCTAAATAGGATTTCTGTGTGTTTAGTAGATTACTTTTCTAACTGCTTTTCCAACCTCCTCTCACACCTGTGTGTAAGCTTTCTGTCTAGGTCAGCTCCCTGTTGCCAAGAAAACAATTTCCTTTTGTTTATTTTTCTGGTCTGTCTCACCTTAGCTCCATTTAACATTTCCTGTTTTGGGCTGGGATTTTTTTTTTTGTTTGGCAGGGATGCAAACTTGCATATACAACATTTTTTGAGAGAGATGCAACAGCACAACGGGGCACTAAGTCACAGTGGTGGGAGGTAAGGGACAGGTTTTCTCCATTTTCTTCTCTGCCTAAACCCAGGGGTGTCCTGGGGAGGGAGGAGAAGGGGTGGCAGGACACTGTACATACTTTCCCTCTCGTTTCTTCGCTCCTGACGGAGAAACTCCTCAAATTCTGCACGGCGTTCTTGATTTTTCATCTCCCTCTGGAACTTGCAGAAGCTCCCGACAAGCTCCCGGATGGCATCCCAGGCCCATCCCTGCAGAGACACGGCACAGGTGGCACCAGCCAGGGAGCTGCAGCCCTGGGGCTGAGCCCTCCTGTTTGGACCCACCACCGTGAGCTGGAGCAGCCTTGGCAGTGGGATTTGTGACCCAGCCATCATCTTTGCTTTCCAGTATTCCTCAGTTTCCCTGGTGGCCCCAGGGGATGGTGTGAATCGCTCAACCAGGACTCCAGAGCCTGTAGGAGGGAGCCTTTCCCTGCTGACTTTCTGCAACTCTCCAAGTCTGATCCCCTCACCCCATTCAGGTGACATCCCTTGTCTCACAGCACCTCCTCTCTTTCTTGCCTGGCATCCTCAAACACCCTCAAACATCCTCAGCCTGCCAGCACACAGGATCTTTCCTCACCATCCTCTGTCCCACTCCCTCTTCCTGCACGTGCTGGCGACGCCTAGACTTGGGCTTTTTGCTCCAGGGAAACAAATCCTCCTCCTCCTGCTGCTGCTCCTTCTGCTTCCTTTTCTTCTTCTGTGTCTGCTGCTCTTTCTTCTTCTTCTTCTTCTTCTGATGGATGCCTTCCTCCTCTTCCTCATCCTCCTCGTCATCCTCCTCAAACCTGCCAGATGGGAGAGCAGAGAGGGCATCAAGGGCAGCCAGAGGCATGAGGAGAGCATTGGTTTGATGGAAGGGGAGCTAAGGTGGGGAGCAGCTGATAGGGGACGGCCCTGGGGTTGGGGTCCCACTGGATTTCTGTTCCTGGAGGAGGTTGGACAATGGTAGAGGGCACTGGATCCCCTCCCCTCCCCTGGGCTCTCTTCTTGCATGTGGTCACCTTGGGAGTGTCTGTCCTGCTTATCTGCAGTGTTTCCTTTTCCAGTCCAGCAGCTTGCACGCCCAGAAACGATTTGGTAGGTTTGGGGTGAGGGATGGAATATCAATGTAGTGGCTGATGGGTCATAGAAAAATGCATTTCCAGCAGCTGCTGTCTGGCCCCTTGGGGTGGGATGGATGTTGGGCAGGGTGCATTTGTATAACTGGAGAAAATCAGCTCAGCTCAGGTGCTCACCATCACTTTTCCATTTGCTTTATATCCCAGGGTGAAGCTGTAAGGACTCATGGCTGGAGCATTCCCAGGAGGTGAGATGTGACTCCAGAGATTTAAGTACAGCTACAGTGTGATTTTAAGTGATTTTTCTGGGAATCTGGGCCCTGCCCAGGTGGCATTCTGAGGGTTGACTGAGGATGAAGTGCATGAGACGCGCACAAGGTGCGAAGAGTAAATCTGAACTGGGGGTGGGGAGTGTTAATTTTCCTCCTTTCCCTGGTAATTCTGCAGTTTAGACCCACAGGCCACCTATGTCTGAGAGGGCCAAATGACCAAACAGGGAGCAGTTTGGAAACTGGGAGAAATCTGAAAGAGTGGAAGGAGCTCTGTGCTGCGAGGTGCCAGACCTGCGTTTTCTAGATGCCTTCCTCCTTGCAGCAGCAGCAGCATTCTCTCTAGCAATCCTTTCGGATGCAACAGCTGTGGGGACAGAAACAGGGCTGGCCTCTTCCTCAGGTGACAGCCAGAGCCTGCACACAGCTGGACCCTGGAGCCTCCACGTGGTGTCTCTGGTGATTCTGGCTCTGGAGACACTGTGGGAGCTCTTCACCTCTCATGGTTTGACCTCCTCAGCGTCTGCTTCACAGAAATCCCCTACTCCCACCCTCCCTGGCTGCATTAATGCCCCAGAGCACAGCCTGTTGTGGCTGGGTAGGCCTTTCCTGCTGGAGAAATTCCATCAGATGATGCCTCCTGCTCACCCAGTCCCTGAAATACCCCCAAGGATGATAAATGTTTGGGAGCCCACCCTGCCTCTTGCCTGCTCAGCCTGGACTCACCAAATGCTGTACTCATGAGCTGCAGAAGCTCCTCTTCCTTGCTTGGGCTACCCACATCCTGCACATCTGCCATAATCCTCTGTAACTCTGCATGAGAAAGAGGAGAGGGGACAGATCCCACGTCCATTACCTCTGGTTATGACAGCCCATCAGCACTGCCTCTGAGGGCTGGGTTTTGTTATCTTCCCTTGTGTGCCCTGTTCCATGATCTATCCATGACACTGCATTTCTTGGGTAAAACTGAGCTACAGGGGTGCTACAGATGACTGCTGTCACCCTCAGTGCACCGCAGGTGCTGAGAAGATTGGTGTCATTCCCAAAAGATTGCATGACAGAACAAAGCTGAGGGGTTGCACCAGTAAAACCAGCATGGCCAGTCCCAGCATCCTCAGGAGAAGGACAAAATGTGGAAGTGGGGTGGCAGGAGCCACTGCTGGCTTTGGGCTTCGGTCACTTTGCTGCAGCCTTCATCTGATCCAGGCCAGTGCAGGGATGTGGCATTTGGTGCCCCTGGTACTGGCAGGAGGGAATTCGGCCCTTAGGCCACTTCCAAAGCTTTGGTTACAAATGAAGGCTCCCAGACCCTCTGTACCAACCCACTCCATGATGTCCATCGCCTGTTTAGGGCCCCTGGTCACCACCAGAGCAGCAAACATGCTTTACTGGCTTCAGCCAAGGTGAGCCACAGCAGGAATTGGGAACCTCCTCTTACCATCACTGCCCAGGAGCAGCTCCAGCTCTGCCTGGATGGAGCCCCCTTTCCGGAGGTCCCGGGCAGCAAGCAATTGCCAGTGCCTGGAGGAGACCTCCTCCAAGCTCCTGGTGCCGTGCAAGGCCTGGCTCAGCTTCAGGGACTGGTTCATCCTCTGGGACAGGTGGAAATGTTTTCCTGTGCCGGCAGCACGGCCTGACACCTCGGCCATGGGGACGTCCATCCCTGGAGCCTGAGGCGAGAAGAGAGCAGGCCGATGGCACCCAGCGCCTTCCCCGTCTCCAGAGCTGTGCCCACGTGTTTTACAGCCCCTCAAACCACAAACCTGCCCAGTTTAGATCTCTACTCAAGCTTTAAGCAGTCTGGAAGGAATCTTTGTGAGCACAAAGCTCATCTCAGCTGGCTGGGAAGTGGCGGGGATAGGCAGCCAGAGGTAGGCCAGACACGACCTCGCAGCTTTCCTGAAGGGTTCATCATCCTCCAGGAGGGCTGGAAACAACCCTGAAGGTGTCCCCAGCAGCCTCATGTGCTGTTTTGTCGGCTGCTGTCACCCGGGCTGGCCCCAGCTGCTGCCCTGGGAGTGCCTCCCTCATTCCCCCCGAAACCCTCCTGTGGGGTTTGCCTCTCCCCACAGACAAGCAGCTTGGCCAGCTCGCCAAGCAGCAGCGCTGGAGCTGAGGTTTCTGGCTGAGAGCAGGCACCAAAAATAACCCTGCTGAGCCCCCAGCAGCTCCCCTGACTCCAGAGCAGGAGGAGTTTGGCTCAGGGGATGGTGCCCACAGCCAGCACGGCCCTGATGCCTGCTGAAGTGCTAATTGCACTCCCAGACCAGCTCTGGCCTCAGAGGGGAGATCTCCTCTTCAAGAGATGCTTAAAAACCTGGGCAGCTAATTAACTTCCCACCAAGAGCAGTTAATGAGTCAGGGTTGGGAGCTGCCAGCTGACTTTTCCAAAATGCCCAGCTCTCACTGGCTGAGACTCTGGGAGCCAGGTCTTTGAGGACACCAAGCCTTGACAGCCTCTCTTTAACATTTCCAGGATCAGCTGCTGATTTTACATTTCGTTTTGGGAAAACAGTTGTTCTGAAGAACACCATCTGCAGTGAGAAAAATTGCCTGCATGGTTTGTGCAGGTACCAGTGCAGGTGGGATGCTCAGGAGGTTCTGTCTGCAAGGAGGTTTCTGGGTGTAATGCTGGAATTTGGGGGAGGTATTATGGGATTTCTGATGCCAGGAGGAATAATAACCTGGGAAGAGTGCTTGTGTGACTCTGATTTCTTGTATCATCCTTTTTGGTGGAAAAAAAAAAAAGTGGAAAACTTGAGGGTGGTTGAGTCACAGGCTAAAAGGCTGCATGGCCTCTTCCCACTCTGTGCTGGCTGGGAATATGGTGGGATGCCAGACCACTGGAGCTAATGCTGGGCTTCTCCTCCCTCCCTCTTTCCCTCTCTTTCTCTCTCCAGCTTTTTACATCCCCACTGGAGCCTGCACACCCCCCCAAGGATGCCCCTGTGCACCCCCCTTACCATAAACTGGAGGAACGTCCTGTCATCAACAGCCAGAAATTCCTCATAGAGGCTGCAGAGCACCTGAGGAGGAGCAAAAGGGGATTGTCCCCAGGCAGGGTCACAGTGCTGGTGCCACGGGTGGCTCACAACTTCCCAGGAACACGCCTGCACATCCAGCTTGGCCCATTGGGGCTGCCCAGAAGGAATGGCCTTCTAAATGGGTTTTACTGGGCTTGTGCTGGAGCCAGTGGTGGATGCAAAAGGATGTTGAGTGTCCTGTCACCCCCAGCCCTTGGAATCACCAGCCAGGGTCACCAGAGATATTCAGTGACTGCTCACCCCTGCTCTGCTGCCCAGCAAACCAGTGAGGATGCTCCTCTCCACTGGCCTGGGGCATCTCGGGCACTGCTCCAGTGCAAAGTGACTGTAAGATTTTCCCTTCCTAATCTCTTTTTCCTCTGAATTTTCCAAATGCTTCAATTCCTAAGCATTCCCACAGCCCTCACACCACCACAGGGGTGCCAATGCCAGCTGCACCTCCCAGCCTGACCTCTGCCAGCACCCCTGTGTACCTTGCAAATCTCCTTCTGGGCTCTGAATATCCAAGGGGAGAATTCTCCACATATCAGATATTCCCACAGACTCATGAGAGTCCTGGTCTCCAAGGGAAGCTTCTCACTGCTGCTCTCCTCCAGGTAGGTCTTGCAGATCTTTTCCCCAATCAAATGGCGCAGGAAGAAGCTGTTTTCTCTGTTGGAGTCCAGCACCACGGGCAGAAACTCCTCCAGGTCGTGCCACAGGTCCAGGAGATGAGTCTCCATGGGCCTGTTCTGGTGCTGCAGGAAGTCTCTGAAGGGTCGTCCCGCACAGACCTCGGCACTCAGGGCCCAGGGAAGGAAATCCAAGGTATTGACTGGCTTTTTCAGGGATGGCAGCTGGGCAAGGGATGCAGAGGGAGGCGGGTCAGAGAGGACTTTCTCCTTACAGAGGTCTTCTAGATCCTGCTCTGCACTGGACTGAGGTTTTCCAGGAAATGTTCCTCCCCCTCTGCCTCCAAAGGCAGGACACTCTGACTGCTGGGGAATCGATCCCAAAGCATCCTCATCCGGACACAATCCCTCAGTGCTCTCAGCTGGCCCTGGCTGCTTCTCTGGTTTCACCCAAAAAGTGTCCATTTTCAGTTCTTGGCTGTCTCTCCCCTCCTTGACCAGAGCCCAGATCTCTAATTTGCCTTTTTGGCTGCAGTAGGGCCCTGACACGCCCTGGCTCCTTTTGATGTGCATGGTGGGGAGGGGCTCTGAAAGGCCTGGGGGCTCCTGCCAGCAGGCCTGTGATAAATGTTCCTGATATTCCTGGAGCACAGGCTGGCACGATTCCTCTTCCTCCATTCCCATCCTGCAGTGCACGAAGAATTTAGGGAGCCAGTAACTCTGGATCATAGAAAGGGCCTGTTCCTGCATCTTGCTTAGGATCTCCCTCCTGGTGCTGAGGGACTGGATGTGCCTGGCTTTCGGCAGAGATCCTGAGATGGATGAAGGGAATTACAACGGGGAGATGGCTCCATGTAGGCTGCTCCCCAGTCAAACCAAGCAGTTGATGGCATCCCATCCCCCTGGGAGCATCCAGCCCTCTCTGGAAGGGCAGATCCCCTGTTCCTTACCAAGGATGGTGGTGCAGAGGGTGACGACGCTGGAGCCCTCGCGCAGGTGAGTGGCTCTCAGCCTCTGAAGCAGGGACAAGAACAGGTCCCTCTGACTCCCATCTGACTCGTCCAGACCCAGAAGCCTTTCAGTGATGAGCCAGAAGTCGATCAGTTCTTCCCCTACGGATCAGACAAGGGATGGGAGTTGGGAGGAACCCCTGAAAGCCCCGAGGATGGATGAAGCAGAAGAAAGATCACCTGGATGAACAGAGGGAACACAGCAGAGAAAAGCCACGCTTATGCATCTCCCTCCCAGCTCTGCTGCTGGCTCACCTTCCAAAGCTTTCTCTGGGATCTTACCCATGCCCCCAGCTCTGTGCCAGTGTCCTGCCAGGCAGGACATCCCGTGCTCACCTGCAGTTCCTCGGATGAAGGTGAGGAAGTGCCGCATGCCGTGGCTCCCGCTGATGCACCTCTCCAGCAGCCACTGGTCAGCACCCTGCCAGTTCAGGAGCTCTGCTGTGGGACAGAGGGCACAGATGGCACCAGGGGTGGCCTGCCAGATCCCAAGGAAACTCTCCAGCTCCCACCCTGAGAGAGGCTGCTGGAGGGAGACCTGCAAATCACCCTGAACTGGGAGTTTTGGGCAGGCTGTGGGATGCACACGTGGTGTTTAGAAGGATAACTCGCTGCTGTCAGGGACAGCCTGTCCAGCTGCTGTGCTTCTCTTCCTTGCAAATGCCCATCTTTTCTCAAATGTGGGGCTTGCCCTCAATTTCCTCCAGCTTTGAGTTTTAACCTAACTGGAGAAGCAGCAGCAATATACTGGGGAAAAGCCTTGGTGAATTTCTTCTTTTCCTGAAATGAGAATCTGCATTCCTGCTGCCACAGCTTTTATTCCAGTCTCAGTCCTGGCTGGACGGAGAAGGTTCATTTTAGGAGCAAAGCGAGCACGCTCCAGACTTGTAGCCAGTAAGACAGACCACAGCCCAGCAACAGCAGCAAACCCAAACCATCAGCACCTCGGTTTCCCGTACCCCCAGGATGCTCTCCAGCCCCTCTCCACCCCTGCACCCCTCGGTAAACCCTGCTAGGCAGGTTACTTAGCGAGCCCTTATTAACAGCGCGGAGGAGTAAATCCCCTCACATCCCATCGGGACCTGCTGCATCCCTAAAAACGGGATGTGCAACGCCTTTTTAACCCGGAGCAGAGGCACGACCCACTGGGCAGGCAGCGGGCGGTGACAGCCCCGGAGGGAGAGGAAGGCCAGGCGCGGAGGAGAAGCCGATCCGATTTCCTCCGTGCCGCGATGACTCACCTGCTTCCCCCGAGCGAATGAAAGCCAGCAGCTTCTGGCAGAGGACGAGGTGGAGGCACAGGCTGGATTTGCAGAAGTGAGGCAGCCTGTGCTTTTCCAGCCAAGCCAGTAAAGCCTCGGGGCTGGGATCCTGCGTTGCCCGAGGAGAGGATTAGCTGGGAGCAAGGAGCCGGCTCCTGCCTGGCCATCAGGGTGAGTGACAAGTCCCTGCTACAGGGGAAGGAGCTGGGGAAGGCGCCCTGTTGCTTTATGGCGATGAAATCCACCCTGGTGCTGAGGCAGAAGGAAGGGGGGGATACTCAAGTGACAGCGTCCCCAAAAGCTCTGCCTGCCAAAGTGGGAGCCCCGGCTCTGCACGGCTTCCTTCCTTCCCCTGCTTTCCCAGAAGGGGCATGGAAGCTTCCCGGGAGCTTCCAGAGGAGCAGTTTCCTTTTTGCTTTGGGATCTGAGCGCTGCCAGCGGCGCTGGAGGCTGTGGGGAACGGGGGCGAGCGTGGGGAGGGAGGGCTGAGCCAGCCCCGTGGCCAGCGGGGTTTGGCTCCTGTTGAATTCGGGAGGAAGCCAGGACAAGGGGTTGATGTTTGTGTCCTTCTCTGCCGCCACACATGCTCTCCTTCGCTCCAGCTCTCGGTGTTTATAGATAGACCCCATAAACTGCAGCAGGACTTTAAATGGCTTGTGCTCCGCCCAGGGCTTCAAAGCGAAATGACGCCTGGGTTTGAAATGATCGCCCAGCTGCACGAACAGGAGAGCCAGAGAGGGGCCTCGGCAGTGAGAAACCGGCTCCTTCCCTCCCCTGCCCTGTCCCTTCCTCCCTTTGCCTCCCACTCCTCCCTTCCAACAAGGAAAGTTCTCACCAGGTGGCTCGGGAGCTCTGGCCACAGGTACCACTGGCCCGTGCCACTGATGTAAAGAGGTGTCTGGCCAAAAACCTGGATCAAAACAGAAAGGGAGACCCAAAAGAGATGGAGGGTGGCAGAGGAGCCCAGAGCCCAGCTGTTCTAGTTAGTTCCCACTACACAGAAGGGCACAGAATTCCCTTTTAGACCTCCAAGTTGAGATCCTCAAGTTTCCCTCATTTTCCAGCCTGAATGAGGCGTATTCCCAGTTTTCCTGTGGCCTCTAATGCCAGAGAAAGTTGACCTGAGGAGAGCTCTGAAAGGCCCCAGGTTTCATGGTGCAGAGTGGACTTACAGGAAGGCTCAGAAAGGTGTTGAAAAAGTCAACAAAAACATCATCTTGCAGCAGCAGCCCCACGTCCGTGGAGGCGATGGATGCTACAGGGGGAGAAGAAAAAAGTTACCTGGGCTTTGTGTTGGCATCTGGGACATGAGTGTGAGCCAAAGCAGGAGGTTTTTTGGGGGGAATCAGCTTTAGGGGATATGTGGTAGGAGTTTGTCCTGTGTGCACACGGGAGGGTTTGGAGCTGGGACAGTCTGGGAAATGTGTGTAGGGACGGGTGGCACAGGCTGTTTGGAAAGCACCAGGTTCAGAAGCATGCAGGAGCTGGGAGCTGGAATGGCAAAGGCACGTGGTTCACAGAGGCTGGGCACAAACGTGGTGGCATCCACAGGGCAGGAGAAAGGAGGTGCTGTGGCTGGAGGGCACAAGCTGGGCTCCTCTGCCTTGCCCAGACACTGGGCATAACACAGCTCACCCACCCAAGGCTCAGTGCAAGTGTCAGTGCCCAACCTCCCACCACCCTGTGAAGTTTTATTCATGTCTGAAAGATCTGGATGCAAAGAAGGTGGGCTGGCATCAGTCTGCTGCTGGGTGGATACCCTTGGAAATGTCCTCTTCCATGAAGGCACGGCTGTGATAGAGGGAAGACCCTCATTTCAAAGCTTAATACTGCTTTTTCTCCCTACTTTTTCTACTTTTTGGAGTGTTTTTAGAGGGGCTGAAGCCCCCAGCAAAGGGTAACTCACCAGCAGTCATCATGATGGTGCAGTGTTCCGGTGCTGTGTTCCGAAGTGCCACCCTGATTGTGACACACTCATTTTGGTGACTCCTGGGGGGTTGCAGGGCTCTTGGGGACCACAGGGCCCTTGGGGGCCACAGGGCTCTCAGCAGCTCCCTCCTGCCTGTCCCCCAGCCTGAAGAGGAGAATACTGAGAGAGGATGTGATCAGTGTCTAAAGATGTGTATGTGCCTGAAGAGGGGATGTCCAGAGGATGGAAGCCAGGATGTTCTCAGTGCTGCGAGCAACGGGATGAGCAGAAATTGGGACAGAGGAATTCCCACCTGAACATGAGGAAAAACTTTACTGTGACAGTGACTGAGGGCTGGGATAGGTTGCCCTGAGATGTTCTGGAGATACTTGAGAACCACCTGGGCACAATCCTCAGTACTGAGCTCAGGGGACCCTGCTTGAGCTGAGGTGTTGGGCCAGGTGGTCCCTTCTGACCTTACCCACCCTGTGATTCCGTGAAATGTCACTTTTTAAACCACCAGCCCCACAGACACACTCAGGCAGTCCTGAAATGAAACCCCTCCCCTCTCCCTGCTGGGGAAAACTTCTTGCCTTCAAAGCAGGCTCTTGGAGGCACCTCAGCGCTGGGTGTGCTCGCTGTCAGTCCATCTGCTCGGCTTGGGATGGGAATTTCACAGGAGACCCCACTGTGCCTGCCCCAAACAAACCCACATTTCTTATCAGCCTCTTTCTTCATCAGATCTGGGGCTGAGACCCAACCTTGGAGACCCTCCAGCTGGAAGAGGAGAAGGAGACGGAGGAGAAAAAGAAGGAACCTGTCCTGCAGCAGGAGTGACCTGTTTCCCTGGCAGGAGGAGGAACCTGCTCCCCAGGTGGGTGTTTGATCCTGCTCTTTGTAATGCCGTGGTGCCAGTCCTGGGGCTCTGCACAGGCAGAGAGGGGCAGGACAGTGTCCCACAGTGTCCCACGGTGTCCCCAGGAGCGGGGCCACCTCACGAGGTGGCGCTGTCAAATCAGGAATGTGAAGCTGTTCCCAGCAGCAGCAGCAGGGCTCTGCATCCCAGCAAAAGGCTTGGGACAGAACAGCTCTGAACTGATGGTGGGGTTGGTGCTGGGAACCCCAGTGCTGGCACAGCCTCTCGGGGATGTAAAATCGCCTTCCTTCAGCCACAGCCCGGCCATATGGGCTGGTCACTGTGCCAAAACCCAGACTGATGTGGGGAAGGGACAGCTGTGAGCCACAAAACACCTGCTCATCTCAGTGGTGCCAGGTGGAGCTGGGGGAAGGAGCTATGGAAGACCCTGGGGAGGAGCTCTGATCACAGATCCATAAAGATTTATGCTGCTGAGCCCCAGAGATGCGAGGAGGGGTTAGGAATGAACTGGAATGGTGGCTGTCTCACAACTAAAAGACTCAAAGGTTCTCAGAGAAAGGTCAAAACTTAGAAAAAAACCCCCACATTTTCCAGTTTGCAACTGAGCAGATGCCCAGTAGGATCCTCAGAGGCTGGGGTGGCTCCTTGGGTGCTCATTCAGCTCTGGACTGACCTCAGTGGGACTGTAATGGCTTCTGCCAGGAAAAAATTAAGGTTGTGAGCAGGAATTAGCCAACATGGTCATTGTGAGAGGGCACAGGTCCATTTCCACGGAGTTTTCTTCCCAACAGGTCTGGCAGGATGGAGCTGCAGCTTCCCAGGTTTTCCCAGGGCACATTGTCTCTTCACAAGGGGAGCTCACATCAGCTGGGTGGAAAAACCAAAAAAGATTTGAAAAAAAAGAGGTGGGCACAAGAGCACAGCCCAGATTTAGAAGGGAGCTCGGAGTGGCTGGACTCCACAAAAAGATAAGGGCAGGCTTGCAACACCAAATACGTCAGGAGGGCTTCACTCCCCCTCTGCCCCAGCCTGAATCACCCACATCCCCTGTCCCTGGAGTGGGGAACAGCCCTCCCTTGGCAGCCCCGAGGTGACAAGTGGCAGAACCTCACGTTCCTAGGGCGGCAGAGGGGATGGAGCTGGGATTTTTCTTCTTGCTCAACATCAGCTGGCACCACTCCCCCACGGTGCCAAAGTCCAAGGCTGCCCAAACACGATGTCAGCCTCACTGCCTGTGGTCACTGGCCACTCACAGCCTCCCCCAGCAGCCCAGCCTGTCCCTTTTGGTGCCATCAGGAGAGTGGTGGCTGTTTCCCACACACCCCCAACATCTCAGCATTGCTTCTGGTTCTGGGCGATGATCTGGAGACCCAGAAATCTGGGGAACTCCAGCCTGAGTGCACAAACCTGCATAAGCATTATATCCCCACCATGAGCTTTTGGGGGAAGATTTGGGATTTTTTTCCCCTTGTACAACTTCATCCTGTTTTCATAGAAAGAGTTTATAGGACATTAGGCCCACGGCTCCTTAAAACTGGAATTGCCCAAGTCCTGAGGAATTCCAGTTCAGCCTTAAATATTAACTCCTTCCTTGAACATATGACAATTCTTTTTCACATGTGACTTCCATGCTCCTGAGTGCATAAGATCTGTTTTGCTCAGCAAGGGCACCACTGGTGTTTCCTTTGGGAGTATTTTTGAGCCTGTTGCCATTAGTCTGTGGTTTCCTTGCTTGGGACTGTCCCTTACACCTGACAGCCCCTGTGGCAGGCTCTGCCTTTGCTCGTCTCCCCTCCAGCTGAAGCAGAGCCACTGGTGTAACCTTACCCGAGCCTCTGGGGCTGTTGACTTCAGCAGCCTGGGTTAAGTACGTGTTGTGGCAGGACAGGGACCTAATTCAGCCACGAGGGAGGGACATGGGCGGTGGCACTTTGCTGTTACCTTTTATAATTTACAATGTCGGGCCCGGATTCACCGCTTAATCCTCTCAGGGCAGCGGTTTGAGGATTTCTGTACTCTCACTTACGGAGCTGTGCGTTGTGTTAGGCTGAAAGTAATGTGCCAGCCACAGCTAACACAGCCCCAACCTGGCTGGGAGTGCTTTTATCAGTGTGAACAGTTAAAAAAAAGAAAAAAAAATAGAGAGAGAATGGGGAAAAAAAAAAATCCCAATAAAAACAACCCTGCCAATGCACAGTGTGACCAATTTCCAACTGCGGGGAAAGGCATGTGCTGAGTGCTCCCTGGGATATTCTCCACCCTTGTACAGAACGAACCGAGCCAAGCAATTTCTAGGTCTCAAATCCCGCCTGCCCCTGACGTTCTCATCTTCCAGCTTCCCCCCGGGCCGCTGCTGAAGGCGAGCACGTGCTCGGGGAAGGCGCTCGGTCCCCGGGCAGGGTCTGCGGAGCGCAGCAGGTAGGGGCTGCCCGCCGGGAATGTCTCTGGATCTGGGCAAGGGGTGCTGGGGCATGGAGCAGTGCTGTGGGATCCTGGGAGGGGTGGCAAGGGGGGGCAGGCAGCCAGGTGGCTCAGAAAGGGGTGGGGAGGGAGGTGGCAGCACCCAAGGTCCCTCTTCCCTCTGTGCATCCTGGCACGTGGCCGGGGGAGCCGAGTGGGGAGGGAGGGTTTTGGTTTTTTTCTCACTCTGCATGCACCTCTTGCTTATTAATTTGCTTTCCTAAACTGCCCTTTAGCACAGCCCAGGTGATCTGCTCTGGAAAGCTGAAAGCCCTCTGGCCACCAGCCCGCGGCCACCCTTGACCCTGGCAGCATCTTCAAAGGGAGCATGGGCCTGCTGCGGAGCGTGCAATGTTTGCTCACAGCCAGAGCCAGCAGCTACTGCCTGCCTGCCTTGGGGGGTTTCGTCAGCCCCCTGAAGCGCTCCAGGGGAGACCGCTCGGCCACTGCTGCTTGCACAAGGTCAGTCCCCCAGTGCACTCATCCCCACGGCCAGCTCCCTGTCCTCGGTCACTCCGGAGCTCAGCGCTTGCTCTCGGGTGTTGGGTTGATTTTTCCAGCCCTCCTGTTGCTGGTGGCGGTGGGTGAAAGCTTGGGAGCGCCTCGGGAGCCCACCTGCCGTGGGTGCAAGCTGTGCCCAGGGGTGGGCAGAGATGGGGGTGATGCAACATCAGGACAGCCAGCCCCTGGCTGATGTTACCTGGCTGCAGTTCAGTTCCTCGTGCAGGACCTGCCAGCCCAAAGCACTGCCCTGGATGCAAGTGGTATAGCTCAAACTAGGAATGTCTTGACTGTCGAGCATGGGGAGAGGAGAGATGCTGAAGATGTTCCTGCTTATTGCAGGGGGTTGGACTTGATGACCTTTAGGTCCCTTCCAAACCAAACCAATGCATTCTGATTCCATGATGTCATGCTCATCCCTCTTCCCTCCCAGCTGTGCCACTGCTGGAGGCTGGGGCATTTTGGGTGTGTCCAGCCTCCCCCTGGGACCTAACCATCACAGCAAAATGGGCAACTCCTCCTCCTCCTCCTTGTGTGACATCTCCATTGGAAAAAAAACCAACAAACGAAAACATTCCTTTCTACTTCTGAATTTTTCTTTAGGGCTGGTGAAAACCCAACAGGTACCTGGGCTTAGCAGTCCGGGTGTGCAATGTGTTGGGCTTGAGATTCCAGGATCTGTGGTGAGGTGGCATCCTTGGAGATGGCCCCATGGTGCTGGGTAAGTCCCAGAACTGCAGGAGCAAAGCCCTCAGCCACCTGCCTCATGGCCTGAGCCAGCAGGAAATTTCATATCCTGTCTATTTAATCCTCAATTTGCCACCCTCCTCTTTCCCCCCCCACAATGGTGTGATATTTCTGCATTTTAAGGCATTCCCAAATGAAGGACAGGGATGGACGGGGGCCCACCACAAGGGATGGGTCACGGCAGCCCCAGCAAGGCACAGTGGAGAGGGAAGCCTTGATCCTTTACTGCCTGGCTGCTGGCTGGAGCTGGAAAAGGGCAGGAATGTCTCATGCTACCTGAGAGAAACTCATCCTGATCCCCAAACCTTCCCTGGGGAGCGCAGGGACCCGGCTGTGCCCTGTCCCTGAGGTTTTGCCCTGCTGCTTTGGAGGCAGGAGGCTGCAAAGTCCAGCCTGCCCGACCCTCGTAACTCACCATCCTCTTCCCAACCTTGGCACTCCTCTCAGGATATCAAACTGTGCCAAAAAAGGTGATCCCACAAATTAATAGGAGGAAGAAGGAAAAAGCTGTGCCAGTCGGGACTCGCCCCTGGAAGGGGACATTGTCTCACCCTCTGGCTGCACGTGTGGCCCTTTGAAGGTGGATTTCAGTCCACCCGTGGGTTGTGTCACCTGTTGGCACCGAGCCCTCCCCAGCTCCCCGAGGAGGGTTTTGTTGGAGACACCGAGGGTCACTGGAGCACGCAGCTGGGCCAAAGAACAGCCTGAGCAGGCTTTCCCGGGAAAAAAAAAAAATAAAAAAAAAAAAAAAGGAAAAAAAGCCAGGCTGGAAGGGGAGGAGGAGAAGAAAGGCAGGCTGTAAACAAGCTGGGTGAGCCCAGAGAGGAGGCCCGGGAACGCTTCCCGGGAGAGGGCGCTGGGTCCGCGGCTGCCGCTTCTCCGCTGGCTCGTAAACAACTTGTGCAGGGCGAGCACGGGGGCTTGGCCATGAGCCCAAACACCAAACCCTGCCGGGGCTGGCAGCTCCATCCTCCCACCCCCGCCATCACAGCCTTGCCCACCATAGCGGCGTCTCTCCCAGGCTGGGGGAGTTGATTTTTGGGATGGAGGGATGATGTTTACATTGCCAAGCTGCCTTCAGGGCTGCTCGGAGCTGGCCAGCCCCGAGGCTCGCACGGCACGGGGGTCACCCCGCTGCTTCCACTTGTCAACATCTGGGCTCGTTCGAAGCCAGAGGTGGACAAAGTTACTGGGAAATTAGCAGGTAGCAGGCGTAATTCCAGGAATTTGGAGCTATCGGAGCTCTCGGCGTCCCGATTAAAGAAACACTCACTAGGGAAGAGGGCCGGACGCCGCTTTACGTTGACAACTCCCCTTTATGGGAACTATTTTGGGCACCAGCCTCTGCTCTGCTTCCTTTTGCTTCAGCTGAGCTGTTAGATTTGGGTGACCACAGCTGAACTTGGGCTGAACGTGAGTTCCTGAGCTCATTTCCGTGGGTAAAACACCACGTTTGTTTTTTTTGTGTTGGAACCGCAGCTCTGTGCACAGGCTGCAGGAGCTGGGGTGCTGGCAAGGAGGCGCTTTCTGGGGCGCTGTTGCAATGCTCGGTGGCTCTGCCTTGCCCAAGCAATTCCAGGAGGAGAAAAGCACCTGAAAATCACCTTGTTCTGGGCAGCCTCAGGGGATTGCCGCACACTGGTGGCTGCTCCGAGGTGCTGCTGGTGAGGAATTAGCTGAGCTGTCCCCGCAGGGAGGGTGGGGATCTGGCTCTTGAGATGGGCCATAAATCAAAGCGTGGTTTTTGGCCAGCACTTCCCCCTCCTCCCGCCTGAAGATCCGTCTCTCCCTGGCCATTTTCCCTCTGGATTCTGCCTGTACAGTGCCTGTGTCCGCGCTAGGGTGGCTGTGACGGCCAGGAGGCTCCAGCTTCTCGAGGAACAGCAGTTCGGTGCCATCTCCCCGAGGCTGGCATGGGGCAGAGCAGGATCCTGTGGCTCCGTGGCAGGCGTGTGGGTGGCGTGTGCTCGGCCTGGGACCTGCGTGTGTCCCCAGGGTGTGCACACACGGCTGGCAGCTCCGGCTGCCCCTTGCATCCGGGCTGGGACTTGCACGGAGTTGCAGGTGATGGGACAAGCGGGCCGACGGGCTGGAAAAATACTGGGCACTGCCTGCGTTTTGCTGGGTGCCGAGTGGGTGCTCCCATGGTGGGGCCGGGGGATTTCTCCTCCCTCCAGTGACACTGAGCGATCCTGCGCCTTGCAGCGAGGCTCTGCAAATCCAGGTGCTGGAGGCTGTGAGCTGCTCCAAGGAGGAGAAACCGGGCACCGAGGCTCTTTTCCCCCTCCCAAGAGTGAGCGCCAAGCCAAAGCCTCGCTGGAGCCCCGGTGCCTCCCCCTGTCCCCGGGGCGGCCGGTCCCCATCCCTGCGAGCTGTGCCAAGGCAGCCGCTCATGTAAACGCTGCGGAAAGCGCTGGATCCGCTCCCACCTGCCCAGCGACGAGGGCTTGATTTTCCGGTCACTTCAAAACACCCAAAACCCACCCAAACCCTCCGCTTTCTGCCCCCTCTTCCCTCAGTTTTCCGCACCCACCCATCCCCTCCAAGCCGGGGCGAAGCGGCAGCGCTCCCCTCTTTGCCGGGGGCGGCCGGGCCGCGATGCCGCCGGAGCGGGCGGAGGCGGAGGAGGAGGAGGAGGAGGAGGAGGAGGAGGAGGAGGAAGGAGGAGGGAGGCGGGGTGGTGGCCCTGTCCCCCCTCCCGGGTCCCCCCCGTCCCGCCCCGCTGCCCAATCCGTGCGGCGGGGCCGGCGCTGCTCCGCCATAAAGGGGCGGCGGGCGCGGCCCCGGGAGCCGAGCGTGGGAGCCCCGCGCCCGCCCGCAGCCACCGCCGAGCCCAGGTACCGGCCCGGGGGGACACGGGGACAGGGGGGTGCCGCTGCCCAACACCCGCCGCAACCCCTCCGTGCACGGCAGGGCAGGGGAGGCAGCCCCGGCGGCCAGACCTTCCAAGGGAAAATTCCTCCTTTTGGGGGAAGGGGAGGTGGGAGGAAGTGGCAGCTTGAGTTTTGCTGTTGAAAACATTCCCTTTGCAGTTTTTGTGGGTGGTTTGGTTTTTTTTCTTTCACCTCCCCCCACCCCCCCACCCCTTCAGCTGCTCCCTGCAGCGCTGGGACTCGGCCGCAGGCGTGGGGGATGCTCCTGGCAGGGCAGCGCGGCGGTGGGAGCCGCAGCGAGGTGGGCTGGGGGCGGCTCATCCCGAGCCCCCCGCCCCCCGCCGGCGAACGAGATGTTGGAGCGACTTTCCGAGTCAGTCCGCATTTCCACACTGTTGGCATTTCCCAGCTCCCTGAAAAACACGCGCGGAGCCCGGTGCTGTGGGTCGGACGCGAGTGGGCTGACTGGCGCTGGGAGCCCGGCTCCCGGGGCTCTGGGGATGCTGCAGCTCGCACCCACTGGTCCTAGAGCCGCTCCGGCCCATCCCGCCTCCCCATCGCTGCCTGGGGTGCTGCCTGTTGCTTTTCCTGCTGCCCTGAGACCGGGCTTGGATAGCCTCGGCCGGGCTGAGAAGGCAGCTGGGGCAGAAAAGCCCTCCTCGATGATGCAGATCTATTAAGAAAGCCCCAGCTAAGCTTTCCTTGCATTAGCCTCTCTCTGGAGCGGAGCGTGGAGGTGAAAAGTTCACGTGGGGCTAAGGAGCCCTTTGGAAGTCTATTGCTCTGGTTTATTAGCAGGGGTTTGGGTATTAATGGGACTCTTTTGAAGGGATTGTGGAGCAGGGCTTTCCTGGCTGCCGGCATCTGCTGTGTGTTCTCCCTGAGGAATGACAGGGAACCGCTGGAGGTGGCAGCCAGCCCTGTGGCCGAGCTGTCCCGTGCTCCTCCCTGGCCTTGGGGTGGGGAGGGGGGGCTGAAAAATGTGGCAACGCAGGAAAAGGCTCACAGCAGGGGCTGTTTGTGCTTCCCCCCTGCAGGAACCCCCTCGTCAGGACCGCAGCCATGGCCACCTCAGCGAGCTCCCACCTGAGCAAAGCCATCAAGCACATGTACATGAAGCTGCCGCAGGGGGAGAAGGTCCAGGCCATGTACATCTGGATCGACGGCACCGGGGAGCACCTCCGCTGCAAAACCCGCACGCTGGACCACGAGCCCAAGAGCCTGGAAGGTGAGAGGGCAGGTGCAGCACTCGTAGCCCCTCACCCGGTGGAGGAAGGATGCCATTTCTCTCCTCCCGTGGCAGAAGGATGGCTTTTGGGGAAGACATTCCTCCTCGTGCCCTTCCAGTTACCTCTTCCCCCAGATACCGCAGGGGAGCGTTCCCAGCTCTCCAGATGTGGAGTTTCAGGGAGTTTCAGGGCTGGGAGCCCGTCCTTGCTGCTGTCCCCGCTGTGGAGGGGCTGTTGGCAGGGGCTGGGGGCTGTTGGCAGGGGCTCGGCTGCCCATTGACTCTCGAGTACTCGTTTTGGCCGGAAGTAGTTTGGCAGAAGAAAGTGCAGGGGAAAGAATGGAGCTATCCGGTGTAATTAAGAGCTTGTGTCCCTCAGAACAAACAGTCCCAGCTTACACAATAATAGCATTAGGATTTTCCCCAGGTTGCCATGGAGCTGGCTGGAGACAGTTATGAAATGAAAATACTGTGTGTGACTGAGCAGAATTATCTTTTTTTTCTTTCCTTTTTTTTTTTTTTTTCCTTCTTCTTTCCCCTCTCTCCTTTCCCCCTTTTCCCTCTGAGGGAGTGGTTGGCACAGCTCCTTGGAAATCTTTGTGCTTCCCATCCTCCCTCTTTCCCCCTGGGATATGGAGGAGATAACATTGCCCGAGTGGAGTTGTGGGTTTTGACCTGGAGGGCAGTGCTCAGGATGGAGGGGTGGGCGAGGGGCCACACTCTCCTTCCAGATGAGATTCCACCTCTCTTCCTCAGGCCTTGGTAGCGTGACTGAGGGTATTCCATGGCTCCCCTCATTCCCACAGCTGGGAGATGGCTCATGGTCTGCCCTCTCCTAGCCAAGGGGACCGGCTGCTTTGCTCATCCTTGTGGTTGTTGTGACATGGGAAATGTCCTCAGTGCTACTCTGTTCACTCGGGCTTGGCCAGCGGCCCTGCAACTTGTTATTTCCCAGGGTGGCTGGGGAGTTGCACTCCTGTGGCTTTTTGCTTGTTTTGGGTTTTTTTGGGGTTTTTTTTTGGTTTGTTTTTTTTTTTTTTTCTTCTCCCACTTGGAACAAAATCAGCTGTGCTGGGACTAAACCTATTCCCTATGACCATCTTCACCTCTGTCTTACTGGAGGGTGGCAGGGAGCCCATCCTGGGGACCAGGGACCCTGGATCACTGTGGCTGGTTCCTCTCTTTGCTCCAGATCTGCCTGAGTGGAATTTCGATGGCTCCAGCACCTACCAGTCCGAAGGCTCCAACAGTGACATGTACCTGCGACCTGCTGCCATGTTCCGGGACCCATTCCGCAAGGACCCCAATAAACTCGTTCTCTGCGAGGTCTTCAAATACAACCGCCAGTCTGCAGGTGAATGAAAGGACCTTCTCCCTTCTCCTGGTGGAGGTGGTGTTCCTGGGAAGGGGAATGGGAGACCTGCCCGAGTGCTGTCTGTGCCCTTAGCATGACACAGAAATAACCCCTGCCTTGAAAGGACAGGGCAAACGAAGTGCTGGTGATGGACAAAGGGCTGGGCTTGGGATTCTTCAACGCTGCTGGGACTCAAACTGTAAAATAAGTGGAAGTGGGGAGTGGAGGTGCTCATGAGCCTCGTGTCGCTTTTCCGTTCCAGAGTCAAACCTCCGGCACACCTGCAGGAGGATTATGGACATGGTGTCCAACCAGCACCCCTGGTTTGGGATGGAGCAGGAGTACACTCTCCTGGGGACAGATGGACATCCATTTGGCTGGCCTTCCAATGGCTTTCCTGGACCCCAAGGTAATCTTTTGGGAGCCTGGACCAAGTCAGGAATGTTTGAACTGAAATCTGTGCGGCACAGCTTGAGCTGAGGGATCCAAGGTGTTCCTAGAACCGAAGGTGGACGGTAGAAAGCGGGAGATTGCCAAAAACTAACCATGAGATGAAATTTGTTGCAGAAAGGCTGAGGTGGGGATTGGCCACCTCCAAATTTGCTGCTTGGTTTGTTGGTCTGCAGGGGACTTAAACTCAGGGGGAGACTTAAACTCAGGGGGAACTTGCTCTCCGTCAGCGTTCTACCCTGCAAGTTCTTCCATGAAAAACGGATCTTGGGGCGTTTGAAGAGTTCTCTGTGCATGCTGGGTCTTCACGGAATGTCAGCGTTCTTCCCTGTGGAGGCTGATGTTCCCCTGTGCTGTTGCAGGTCCCTATTACTGCGGTGTAGGGGCGGACAAAGCCTATGGCAGGGACATTGTGGAGGCCCACTACCGAGCTTGCCTCTATGCCGGCGTGAAAATCGGAGGAACCAACGCAGAAGTGATGCCAGCCCAGGTAAAACCATTCTAAGACGCCTCATGGAGCGAGAGAGTGGCGTGGAAAAAGCCCCAGGCAGCGGGAGCTGTGTGGCTGTGCCCAGCATCAGGGGGTGGGAGGTGCCTGTCTCCACCCCACTGAGCCCGTGACGCCTCCTCCTTGCAGTGGGAGTTCCAGGTGGGACCATGCGAAGGGATTGAGATGGGGGATCACCTCTGGATCGCGCGCTTCATCCTGCACCGGGTGTGCGAGGACTTCGGGGTCGTGGTGTCCTTCGATCCCAAACCCATCCCTGGGAACTGGAACGGTGCTGGCTGCCACACCAACTTCAGCACCAAGAGCATGAGGGAAGAAGGAGGTCTCAAGTAAGTGTTTGGGTCGTTTACTGGGCTGCAGGATTTTGCAGTGCTTTGGATGACACGGGACTTGTTGCTCTGGTGCTTGGCGTGACATCCCAGTCTTCTGGATGGGTTTTTTTTTTTGTGCTTGTTTTGTTTTTGTGGTTTCTGTTTTTCTTAATGTGTATTTTTTTTTATAATGATACATTCTCATCTTGATGCTTGGTGGGCAATTCAGCCAGGAGTACAGCTCCAGCAGTACTGGTGGAAGTACAGGATGCAGCTATCCCTAACAGCTCCTGACCTCCCAGTGCTGGGAACAAACAAACAAACTCAGCACCAGGCTTTTTAAATTATATTTTTATAGCCATGATGAAAGAGAAAGACCATTCGCTTCATCTGGGCAAGGCTGCCATGTTTTCTTAAAAGATGAGCATCCTAAAGGTGCAAACTGAGAGATCCTGCATGGGACTGCTGTGCTGAGTGCAGTCAGGGACCCTGTGTCACTGGAGCTGTGTGGGGGGATCCATCCCTCAGGCAGCTCTGTTTTCTTGCCTTAATCTTAGTGATGCCCTGACATAACAGGACAGCCCATGACTCTGAGAGCTTCGTGAACTCCAGTGTTGAGAGCTCTCCCCTCCGAGAGCGGGTGGAAGCGGGAAGTTTTAACTGGTGGTGTCTCACAGACAGCACTCCTTAGGGAGCCTGTGGGATTTGGCCACGAGGACCCTTTTTCTGGGTCAGCAGCAGGAGTGGAGAGACACCCTGTGTTGGGATGAGCAGCCGAGCGGGTTTTGTGGCACAAGGCATCGTCACAAAGTGGCTTGGGGACAGCAATGAATCTCTTCGTCACCTCGACACGACAGAGGGGTTCAGCTCGTGCCGTGCCTCACTGTGCCGTCCCCTGTCCCTCCCTCCCTCCGCAGGCACATCGAGGAGGCCATCGAGAAGCTGAGCAAGCGCCACCAGTACCACATCCGTGCCTACGACCCCAAGGGGGGGCTGGACAATGCCCGGCGCCTGACCGGCTTCCACGAGACGTCCAACATCAACGAGTTCTCGGCCGGCGTGGCCAACCGCGGCGCCAGCATCCGCATCCCGCGCAACGTGGGCCACGAGAAGAAGGGCTACTTCGAGGACCGCCGGCCCTCCGCCAACTGTGACCCCTACGCCGTGACAGAGGCCCTGGTCCGCACGTGTCTCCTCAACGAAACCGGGGACGAGCCTTTTGAGTACAAGAACTAAGCGGACTGCGCCCCGCGGACACCGCCTCCCCCCGCGCTCCCCGCGCCCCTAAACTTCCCTTCTAGATGTAATCCCGAGGGTACAAGATAACATGTTTCGTGTCTCAGTAACTCTTGTTGTCTTGAGGTGGGGAGGAGGGCAGGTTTAGTTTTATCCGTGTCTGTTTGTCGTTGACTCTTCAGAAGATGAGAGGAGGACGGGGTGTTAGAGAACTTTTAACCACTGTTTTATTTTTCTTGTCTAATTCATGTGTACATCCGATGGGATCCAGTGGCTTCCAGGGACAGACTGCACACGCAGAAAGCCTGTAGGAGAGGAGAAAGCTTAAAACAGAGCCAGATTTGGGGGGTCAGCCCCGCTGCTGGCTCTCTGCAGACTGATGGTTCTCTAAGGTTGGTGCCTCTCTGTGGAGAAGGGAAGATGGGAGCTGTGGCGATGGGAGCTGTGCCTGTGCTCCTTCCTGTGTGGGGACAATGACGGGGACATCGTCGCCCTCCGGCCACTCTGAGGTTTCTGGGAATCTTCTGGCATTGAGCTCAGCGTAGGAGCATTGAGGAGAACTCTTGGTTCTGTCACTGGAAGTCAACCGATCTCTGGCTCGTAACACAGAGTGAAGTAGTATTTTTCTATTTAAATATAAAAACAGCAAAAAAAAAAAAAAATTCTATATGAAAGTGTTTTTTTCTTGAAGAGATGACGTTCCTCATCCAGCCGGAGCGGGCAGAGCTCTTGCGGATGTTGTCGGAGGCCTCCAGGTGGGACTGAGGGTGAGCTTGGAGGGAGACTCGGATGAGATTTGTTCCAGCATGGAGTGGAGCTTGCAGGAGGGGGTTCCCAGAGCGGGAAGCCTGCACAGAAGCATTTGTCACTGTGACTCGGGTGGCCGTGACGCGCTCAGAGCGGGAGGAAGGTGTCCTGAACCAAGAGTTGACTGGTCAACAACGTTCCGGACAGAGCCGTGGCTGTGTCACCTGTCCAGCAGGGCTAGCATGTCACTAAAGCAGGGCTTTTGATAAAGGTTTAAAACAAACAAACAAAAAAACAAAACAGAAAAAAAAAAGGAAAAAAAAAAGAAGTTTTAGACATTTTTTTTTTTTTCATAATGATCTTAGTTTCTCCAACTGAATGGTTTTACAGAGACCGCTGATGCCACTGTTGTGTCCTGGCTCTCATCCAGCCAGGATGGGGGCAAGGAGAAGGGAAGGGAGAGGCCACCTTGACCTGTCCCTCCCAGCCACCCCTGGCACTCCCAGCTCCTGCTGGGGCTGGGGGGGGTTCAAACGTTCCGGGATTTTACACTTGGATATCTTAGATGGTGCCAGTTTTATTCCGTTGCATTTGGACTTCTTCCGAATAGTTTGGTTGGTTTTTTTTTTTTTTGGTTTTTTTTTTTTTTTTTTTTTTGTAATAAAAAAAGAAAAAAAGAACAAAACCTTCAATCTGACCTCTGCAGCCTCTTTTTGTGCGTGTGTTGCCTTCACCATTTGAAAGGATTTTGACTCTGATAGCGGGTAGATGTGGCTTTTCATTTGTGAGGTTTCTTTGAGGGGGAGGCAGGGGTCTTTCCATCCAGAAAATGGGAATTTGTCAGCAGCAGTGCTTGGTTCTGTGGTGAAGGATGGTCCAGCTCTGGCTCGAATGGGATTATTTTGGGATGGGAAAGGGCCTGGGATTGTGAGTGTCCATAGGGAGGATCATGGGGTCGGCACAGATGTTTGTGCATTTCCCAGCCTCCTCCTCACAAGTTCTGTGGGATATAGAAATCCTACAGAAAACAAAACTCCAGGAAACTTAATTTAAAAGGGGGCTTTGTGGAAGAAGCAGCTTTCCCACTCTTCCTAAGAAAGAAAATGAGAGAGAAATGAGAAAATGCTGCTCGTCCACCTTTGGCATAAACCCAGTCATTTGGGATAACAACCAAGGCAGTAGAAATGTGTCACTTTGCTCCCGTGGTCCTTTATTTAGCTTGTGGTGCCATTCCCCAGCTGCTTCCTTCAGGAGAGGACGCTTTAACCACTCCCACCTTTAAATCTGCAGTAACTGCACCTGAGCATCCTGCTGGGCTGATGAGGCCATTCCTGCTATCACGTTTATTTTTTATGGGCCAGCTGTTTTCCTGCATCTCCCTTCTGGGGAACACAGCACAGTCCCAAAATTCCCCTGTCCCTGTGCCCTGGTGGGGTGGGGTGTGTCTGGAACAGAGGCAAAGTGAACACCTTTCCTTTCTTCCCATCCTGACACAGCCACAAAGGACTTGGGAGCTGCAGCCAAAACAAATCCAGGCTGCTCTGGGATAACTCAGGAGCCCAGAAATCTTGAAGTTTTGTTCTGATCTGGGCTCAGGGGCAAGGCAGCTGCTGTTTCTTATGCCTTCCAAGGAAATGTTACAGTGGAAAGAATCGGATTACACCTGAATTAGGTGGCCAAGGCATTGGCACAGAAGGAGGGAAAAGACATGGTTTGGTTTTCTCTTCGTTTTTCTTAAAGATCCTGCACTTCCAAACCCTGTGAATCATTGAAGCTGAATCTCCCTCCAGAGAGCCTTTCCTCCTGGGGAACAAAAAATTGGGAAAAGGAGGGACATGGCTCAGTTTTGGCCACTAAGCATCACCAAGGCAGGAGGAGCTGATGGGCAGCAGGTTTTGTGTTTTGCCATAGAATCATGGAATGGTTTGGAAGGGACCTTAAGTATCATCTCATTCCAAACCACCCCCTGCCAGGGGCAGGGACACCTTCCTTGGGTTGCTTTGGGATAAACAGCATCTCCCTTTGCCATTGGGGTGTCCCTCGGGCTGATGAGGGGAGCAGGCATCAGTCCTTTGCTCCTCCAGCTGCCCCGAACATAAATTTAGGTCAGGAGCTTGATGCTTAATGGTTCCTCTTGTTCTCAGCTGAGAAAGCATTTATCCACTCACTGCACAATTACCCGGCTGAAAACAAGGTCAGAACAACATTGTGCTGGGAAATGGCTTTTCAGATCATTATTAAAAGTATAGGGGGGAAAAAAATTACTATAATGAATTAGAAGGGAAAAAAAAAATCATTTATTCCCTCTAGACATTGTTTTTTGACTTTTTGCCTAAAGCCTTCTTGCTGAATTTGCTTTGTAGTTACTTAAACACGATTTCCCAGCTCTGTAGGGTAGGGAGGCCTCCTCTTAAGGCCATGGGGCTCTTACAAATTGAACCTGAAAGCCTCAGAAGCTGAATTTATGTCTTATGCATTCATAGAAAACATTTTGACTTTTGATCTGAGCCTCTCAGGAGGAAGTGAATCCTTAAAATGTGAATAATGATATAGCAAGGATCGGTCCCAAAGGGTTTGCTGGGCACTTGCAAGCATCAGGAACTGCTCCAAACGAGGCAGACAAAAATAGCAGCAGCTTTTTGAAGTGCCTGTTGGTTGTGCTCCCTTTTAATCAAACACCAGCTTAGGAGACGAGGCTGCCCCTAACCTATTAATATATCTGCTCACATGCCAGGCTCTTCCCCACAGCTGGATTTTAAGGCAACCAAAAGAAGATTAGCCACAGCCCCCTTCAAATACAGCCTGGAGCCCGTGAGCTAATCCAGATTCCCACAGGAAGCATCTTTTTGTGCCAGGCTGTGCCAGCCCAGTTATTGCCTGGACACGAGGGATTTTCCCTTTCTGCAGAGCCTGGTGCATCAGGTGTGGCTGCTTGGATTTCTCCTGCCTTTTCCCACTCCCAGAGCGCCTTGATGCTGCTCCAGCATCCACAATTCACTTCCCTTACTATTTTCTGGGAGTTTTGCAGTGCTATTTGAGCTTCCTTGATTACCTTTTTTTTTTGGTAGGTCAGCCTTCACAGCCCCTGGCTGCACACACCTCTCTCCCTGAACACGTCTGGAGGAGGAATAAGCCAGCCTTTGCTGGGTCAGGATTTGCTGAGCTGTCCTTTGGATGCCTTCAGGTGAGGGAGAAGAGAGGCACATCTTTGTTGCTGGGTGAAACTCTTTTTATTTCTCCAAGTCTGTGTTTTCCCCCTTTCCTGGGGTGTTGATGCTGGCCCGTGGGAGGGAAGGGATGGCCCCAGGGAGGGAGCTGGGCACAGACTGATTTGCAGAGCTCTTCAAGAGCCTCTCTTTGGGCTTGAAGCTGCTGTTATCAGAGCAGCTTTGTTCTCTTGAAATGCCTTTTGGAGCTTCAGCAGCTCCTCTGGTGCTGGGTCTGGAGCAGTCCCAGCTGAGATCTACGCTTGCTGATAAAAGTGAGAAGGTTTCCACCTTTGGAAAAGCGGCTGGGGGTTCTTTGTCCCCTCGAAGGAGACCAGGGCATGCTCCAGAAGGCTGCTGGAGAAAGGTCAGGTGTGGTAATTCCTTGTGTGTGACCCCTTTGAGCAAGGTGGTGGAGCTGGGAGGGGATTCCTGCCATCACACACATCGGGAATTCAGCTCCAGCTGAGCCTGGGATCTCATCCCACTTGTTCAGTTACTGATTAAACCGAGGACAGCTGCTTAGGGAACAAGTGGGAGCTCTTGAAAGGGAAGATCTCCTTAGGTCTGCCTGGCTTCCCCAGCCAGCTGCATGCAGAGTCAGACCTGGGCTGGCTCCTGAGTGGGTCCTCCACCCACGAGTGGTTCTCCAGGCTCTCCAGCTGGCACTGGTGACCTATTTGCAGTTTCAACACGTCCTGTGTGGATGTCAATTGAACCCTGACTCTTTGCTTGCTGGTAAAGGGGCCAGTCCATTTGTAGGATCTGCTTTTCCCGAGGCCAGGCAGGTTGTGGGGGATATCAGTCACTGAGGGATGACTAAAGATGCGAATTGCCTGGCTCATGAGTGGTGATCTCAGCCTGATCCTCGTGACTCCACCCTGAGCCAGTGCTGGGTGTCTGGGGGCTGTTCCTCCCTTTTGTGCAGTGATCTCTGGTGGGAACGCGTGGAGAAGGGTTCTGGGCAGACACAATCCTACTGCTCTCAGCACTGAAGGGTCTCCAGGGGCTCTGTTCCCAGTGGGAGATGATGTGGGTCAGAGCATCCCCGAGCTGCCTCTGGAGGTGTCTGAAGGAATGGAATTTGGGCCTGGGTGCTTCCTGCATGTTGGCTCCCTCCTCACTGCCCAAAACCTTCCGTGGTTGAACCTCAATGTGAACTTGCCTGACTGAGGAGAAGCCTAGGGTCAGAGAGGTAAACTGGGGAGGAAAATCCACATTCTGTGACTCCAGACTGAGCACCAGGACTGCAGCTCTTCACAGCCTTGTAGGAGGACTGGGTCCTTCTCCCTCCCTGCCCCCTTCCTTCCCTTCCCTTCCCTGGTGACACAGCACAAGGCTGGGGCAGCGAGGCTTTACCTCAGCCAAAAAATGTCTTTCTTTCCCTTTCTTTGCTCCCATCCTGGCCTGCCCACAGGCTGGCATGGCCGTGCTATTTTGCTTTCATAAGCTGCATTATGTAAGCCGAGTCTTGAGTGGGGATGCGGTGCCAACTTGGACTCTGCAGCGGGAAGGAGCCACATTCCTCAGCACTGGGTTTAATCCCTGCCTCCAGCCACAGTTGGTTTGCTGAGAGGAATCCGAGTTTTCTAATCCCTTGCCCCAGGTGGAGCCAGGCTGTTTGTACGGGAGCCCTGCTCTCCTTTGTCAACAGGTTGTGCCCAGGTCTCCTTCCAGCAAGTCCTCTGGAGGAGGGCTGGCCCAGGCATGCACAGCTCACCCCGGGACTCTCCTCTCCTGCCCCTGTTTGCTGAACTCTCTGCCCTCCTTGGCTTCACTTTCACTCCCTCAAAAACGCTGGGAAGGCAGGGAGATGGAAATGGGAGCTTCCACAATCCCAGAAAACACAGCCTGGGGGAGACCAAGAAACTTCTCCTCCGCCCGTCCCAGCGCTGGCTGCCCACCCTCCCGGTGTCCCACCTGTAGGATGTGATCCCTGTCCCACCAGAGATCTGCAGATCCTGCCCCCAGGGCTGTTTGGTGTTTGGTGGCTCCCCAGCAGCCCCAGCCTGCTGCCTCAACCCCCTGCACTTGTGCCTGATGCTCTTCATTTTGAGGGCTCCGAAGGAAAGGTCCTCACCCTCCACGCAGGTTTGAGATGAAGCTG